TTGTTTTTCATTTCCATGCATTATTTAAATATCATATGCGCTGAAGGCCAATGGCGCGAGAACGACGACTTTTAAACTTGCAGAATCAGCATACTGTCCAATTGTTTCTTGTTTACTATGACGTTTCTTTGTTTATCATTCATTTAATTCTGACAATAAACGTCCTAGTCAATATTTTACTTATGGAGTTTTTTAATTTTTAAAATTAAATCTGATCATTTCTGACATCATGTGGATGCTGGATTGTAGTCGGGAGTTAACGTACATGTCTTTCTACTGTCTATAAGTGTATCCTGGTTACTTATATAGGGATTTAAACAAATTTTAAATAGTGCTCAATTTCCATATCATTCTATACTATTCCATTCCATAGTAATACGTGGCAAAAAGAGCAGGCGGCGTGTTTAACATTACCTTCGCTGGATAGAGCAAACGTCTGTCGCTGGAATGAACGGCTTCATCATGTTCTCTGTCTTGGTGTGGTATCGGTAGATATACAATTTTTGATAAATTATGATGAGGAGTTAAAGAGTAAAGCATTTTTTAAGCTTAAGCTTTCCATAAAAAATAAAATATTTGAATTAGTTAATTCGCTCTAAGAACGGGAACGATTTTTATCAAACGTGTTGTTCTTCTTGTTTTTTTAAAGAAATAGAATATATAATAAAATATAATAATATCAAATGTTTTATGTATATAAAAGTAGTATGTTTTTATTTGTAATGAAAAATTGTCTTAATTAGCTTATGTTGGCTAATCTAAAAGAAGAATGAAATTTATTAATCGAAAATAATATTTCTAAGATTAAGAAAGTTTAATACCTTCATTTTTAAAGATAAAGTGTAATGACTAATAATTAATAATTAAGGAACTTAGCTACACGAACTTAAAACAATTACGTGACATTGATACTAGTAAAATAAACATAAAAAAAATCATCAGAAAAATCATCCAAGCTAAAATCTGGACCAACGGGGTCTAACTAGACAGATAAAATTGAACCTCACAAAAAAGTCACATTTTGACATGTTGAAATGTGCTTTAAGGTATCATTTTATCGTAAACTTGCCACCTTAATCTTTCACCAGGAGATGCTTGTAGTTGGATCTAAAATACTATACCTCTGAACTTACTTTCCATAAGAATTATTTTTTTTATTATTATTCAAGTACTTTTTGTAAGCAAAATAAAAACACTAAATCACCACAATACACCAAAACACTTTTACTTTTACACTGGACGCGCGTTTCGCTAACCATGTTAGCATCATCAGCAGATGATTATAAACTAGAGACTTTGAGTTTATAATCATCTGCTGATGATGCTGTATAGTGAAATCGTTCAAAAAAGCATAAATGTGTTTTAATCTGTAATGTGGAACTAGTGTTTTTATTTTGCTGTGTAACACCAAAGGTTCCAACCCTCAACTGTAATACTTTTTGTAATTTCTCAATTTTCCATTATTTATCAATAAAACCATGTGTGTTGGGAAGTGTCATCTTGATCACCCTAAAAAATGCTAACAAAAATATTATATTAGTACTAGTTATTTGCGGATTATTAGTCTGTATTCTTATTAAAAATACATAGTTTAAACTTATATGTTAAAATTACTATTACTAAAGTTTCTTCTTAAATTCTACCTAACCAGCTTTACTTTTCAAATGCCTTAGTACTTTCAATTTTCATATTCCCTTAATACAAAATTTGACTCGACTCATGAGCCCAAGGAGGGTGACTAGGATGGATAATAATATCTTCTGGTTCCTTGGCATTACGCTGTCTGGATATCATATCCTTTAGTCTATCATGTCCTTTTGTGTCTGTGTATTTTGTCCGAGGTATTCTATTATCTCTATCAACCTTACGCTTAAAATTATAAATGTTCTTTTTGATAGAACGTTTCCCATAGACATTTTGTACACTCTCTATTTGGCTAGGGAGGGCACTCCAGGCATCCTCTACCTGCAAATGTGCTTCAACAATACAAAACACATTTTCATTACATTTTATTTCTTTCAGGGGAGATTCCAATTCATCCTCCACGTGTACAGTGGCATAATTGTCTATATTAGCAATGTAGTCCTCTTCTGACATGGTTAACGTATTTTCCACCTGATCGATATGATTTTCGCATGGGAGAGCGTGCTGTTGACCATATTTTATTATTTGATTATGCTTGACCTTGCTATTATTGTACTTTTTATTATTGTTTGACGATTTCATTGATTTAGTGTACTTTGAATGAACTGAATGATTTTTATTATGTGAGCTATAATTATTATTATTATTTCTAAAACTTGTTCTGCCTTCTAAGTAATCAAATTTGTTACTAAAATTACCATTATAAGAATTGTTGACTGACCACCTATTCCTGAAATCTGAATTGATTCGCTTTGGTTGTTTTTCATTTCGGATATAATTGTGACAATAATAATCATTCCGGGAATATGCTGACATTTGAGAAAATGTCTCTTTTAAATCATTTAATTTGTGAACTATGCTTTTTAAACTTTCAAAATTCATATTTTCTGTAACTAAAAGATAATAATATTTATTATATGATTCATGTAGACCGTTTTCAAATTGTTCTCTAAAAAAATCAAAATTTACTTCACTATCAATTTCGTATGCAATCGACAATAAATCATAA